TTCAAGGACTCATATTACAAAAGTCCTATCATAATAATTTTCAGAGATATAAATATTTATAAGTCTTCAAAGACTTTTATTTTAAGACTTATAATATAAAAGTCTTTCCATTATAATTATGAGAGCGAACACAATTTTTAAGTCCTAAGAGACGGGACTTGTTCAGGAGCATTTCAGAATTAGGTGGGGAATAGTTCGGGGAGTAGTTCGGGCCCAGTTGGGTCCCGTTCGGGACTATATACAAAGTTTGTTCGCACTCATAATTATTATCAAAAGACTTTTATAATATAAGTCTCAAAATAAAAGTCTTTAAAGACTTAAAACTATTTATCTCAACGATAATTATTATGAAAAGACTTCTATTATGTAAGTCTTAAAATAATAGTTATGGAAAATTTGGATGAATTTTTTAAAACTCCACCATGAAATAATTATTATTCTGGGTCCCTGACACCATATACTAGGAGAACTTAATAAACTTGGATGATCCGATGAATTTCGATAACTATTAACTTCGGTGATGAAAACTTGAAAAATTCCATAATTAAAAAACTATATAAAATAATAAATAAAATAAAAAATCTCAATGAATTTTCTTACGATTTCAGTTACTCTAATTCTTATGTGTACATATTATGTATTCTCATTGTTTTCATTTTGGTTTTTATCTTAAATTTTGCTTTCAACATTTCTTTCTTTATCTTTTTAACAATGTCTAATTTTAAATACGACGTAAACCAAATGCGAAAATAATTTAAATTGAACAGGTTGCAAAAACAACTAAATATACACAAATACGGAAGTATTTAAACGACATTTTTAACCAATTTTGAAACCGTAAAAACTCTCCACATCTACAGAAAAATACCTTTTCAATGAAAGTTTTGAAATCGGTTCGGGAGAATCGCCAAACAAACGGTGACAAAATTAAGTCTGTGAAGTTGGCATACGGTATGACGTAAAAAGACAAAAAAGCTGTTCTGAGCCGCTTTCCAATAGTTCTAGAGTTCCTGATAAGGAAAAAGAGAGTTTTCCAAAAATTACGCAGAAAAAAACATTTTTTGCTAAAGTCGAAAAAGTTAAATTTTTGAAAAAAATAAAATTTAAAACTGTTCTGAGTAGGTCCTCAATAGTTCTAGAGTTACTGAAAAGGAAAAAGATAGTTCTGCAAAATCACGCCGAAAAAAACATTTTTTTTTTTAAGTCGGATAAGTTAAATTTTTGAAAAAAATTAAAATTAAAACTGGTCTGAGGAGCTCTTCAAAAGCTCTAGAGTTCCTGAGATAACCCCGAAAAAAAAACATTTTTCTCGAAAAGGTCGAAAAAGGTATTTTTATGAAAAAGATAAAAAACTTTTCTGGGTAGCTCCGCAATAGTTTTAGAGCTCCTGAGAAGGAAAAAGAAAGTCCTGCAAAAATAAGCTTGTAGCATGGCAACCGTTAAAATTTTATTTTTGTAGACTAATAATTTTTTTTTCGGCGTAATTTTGCAGAACGTTTTTTCGTTCTCAGGAACTCTAGAACCTTTGAAAACCCATTCAGAACAGTTTTAGTTTTATATTTTTTTTCAAAAATTTAACGTTTTCGACTTAAAAAGAAACATGTTTTTTTCGTATTAATTTTGCACAATGTTCTTTTTCCTTCTCAGGAACACTTAGCGCTTTTGAAAAGCTGCTCAGAACAGTTCAGTTCTCATAATAATTTTTTAAATGTTACTTTTTAGACTTTTTTTAAACAAATGTTTTTGTTTTCAGCGTAATTTCGCAGAACTCTCTTTTTCCTTATCAGTAACTCTAGAATTATTAAAGATCTATTCAACTTAGACTTATTTGAAAAAAAAAATTAAAATGTTGGGCGTACTTTTGCCGAACGTTCCTTTTCAGGAACTCTATAACTATGGAAAAGCTGTATAAATAAGTAAAATATTCAAGTAAGAATAAGTAATTTGGTACTTAAATAAGTAAACGATTTCAACATGCTTATGTAAATCCTTAACCACAAACCTTCCGCTAATTTAACGCTGCGGATTTTGAATATTCTATCTTTGGGCTTATGCCACACGTCCACCCTCTGCTTGTAAACGGCTTGTAATGCACGAAATTCGTGACGATTTTAACTTTTAAGATGTCTCATTAAAGATTCATCAGACTTGGTTGGGATGACAGTCAAATAGTCAGTTGTCGCTGCTGGCAGCTCATTTTGGCAGCTAATAACTCGTCGACAGTAGCGGAAGTGGTTAAGCAGCCACGTCATAGCTAAATATTTTCCGCTTGCCAACTGCTATTTGGCAACAACAAAAGCTGAAGAGTGACAACTGTCAATTTATGTAAATATGAATGTGTTATTGTTGTAACTGTATGCATGTATGGCTTTATGTGTAAAGGGTTTTCCACATGGCTTACCATTTATACATATGCATACATATGTGCTCTATGGATGGGTATAAATGTACATGTTGCATAAATTACACACGTACAGGCGCTTTCGACGCTCATTAATAATTTACAAATCCATATTAATTCCTCATTTTGCAGAGAATGCCAAGTGAGCGCGTTGAGTTCATCTGTTAATGTGTATGTATGCAGACTTTCGCGGGCGCGCGTGTGTGTGTATGTGCGACAGATGTTAATGGATCATAGCAGCTGTCTGCGTCCGCATGTTCCAGCACTTTTACCGCCTACAATGTGGTCTACTCCCTAGCGTGTGTGTGTGTGTATATGTATATGTATATGTATGTGTGATTATAGGTGCAAGCGTATAATTGCTTTTAAGTGTTTTTGATATAAAATAAACAACAGAGCCTAATTGCATAATTGCAGCTAGCGTTAAGTACCTTATCATGTTGTTTGTTGTGAGTTACGCGTGNTGTGTGTGTGTGTGAACGTTGGTAACAATACATCTATTCACTCCTTCACGCTTCCACTTGAATAGCTCACTCATTTACTCGTTCGCACGTTCACTCACTCACTCACTACTCCATGTATGCATTCATTAACTCACACTTTTAACTTCACTTAACCACCACTTACCAACGAAAATTTATTTATTTGCTTTTATTCAGACGTTACGTATACGCCATGTAACCGACACTTTTAACTTGTCTCTGTATGTATATTGTTGCAATTGCTCTTGGCGTTGTTGCTGTTGATTCTATGTAGTTGCGCACCGTATACATACGCTTGACAGCGGAACTTATTTATTTAAAATATTTGTATGTGTGTGTGTGGTATGTGGCGTTGTAAAATATGACATACTCTGGCATTGCACAAACGGAACGGATGCAAAGCCATGGTGCGGAAGGCATCATGCAGATTGGAGTGTCTCGCTAACTGCAACTACAACACCAACAACTGCTGTCGCTTCCTGTTGTGCGCTGCATTGATATAGAAAAAATTTTTCAACATTAATTGCAATTCTCACGTGAATGCATTGTTTTTTTTCGTTGTGAGGCAATCCAAGGTTGTTGAGCTAGTGCACTGTGAGTAAGAGAGGAATTAAAATAAGTCAAAAAACAGAAGTTAAATTTCAGTGTGAGTGTGTGTGTATATTCAAATGCTTAACTAAATTTAAAATCATATTTATTTTTATATTCATGTACTCATTCCCATACTCATACTCTGGGCATACTCATACCCAAACTCATACTAATACTCATACGCATATACACATACTTTTACTCATATTTATACTTATTGTTACTCATACTCTTATTTATATTTATATTCATGTTCATATTAATAATAATATTCATGTTCGTATTCGTATTCATATTCAGATCCATATTCATATTCATATTCGTATTCATATTCATATTCATATTCATATCCATATTCATATTCATTTTCATATTCATATTCAGATTCATATTCATATNTTCATATTCATATTCATATTCATATTCATATTCATATTCATATTCATATTAATTTTTATATGTATGCTCGTATTCATATTTATGTTCATATTCATATTTATATTTCTATTCATATTAAAATTCGTATTTATATCAATATTCATATACATATTCATATTAACATTCACATTCAAATTCAAAAAGAGATATTCGTACTCACATTTGTATTCATATCCATTCTCATATTCATGATCATATTCATATTTAAATTCATATTCGTACTTACGTTTTTATTCATACCATACTCATATTAATATTCATATTCATATACACATTCATTTTCATATTCATATTTGTTTTGATATTCATCTTTATATTCATATTCATATTCGTACTCAAACTCGTACTCATATTCGTTCTCATATTCATGCTAATGCTCTTGTTTTACTCATGCTCATACCCATACATATACTCATGCTCATACATATCTTCATACTTGTACTCATACTCATATTCATACTCATACTAAAACCCGTGATCGTACGCATCCCCCTAATCATAATAATACTACCCATACACATAGGTACTCATAGTCATACTCACACCCATATTAACATTCATTCAAACTTTTGCTCCATACAATCCCACCGTTCCCACAACTTCCGTGCCAGCAGTACGATTATTCTGCAGTTGTTGTTGTTGCAACATGTGTTTGTTGCTGTGAGTATTGCACTATACCACGTTATGCTTGTCCGCTTTGTTTGTGGTGAACGCAAAAGGAAACAGCAATTAAACGCTCTCCACTTGTGGCCGGCCGATAACATACGCACACATGAGAAGCACATACTTGTAAAATCAAACCTACACATATGCACATATGTTTGTTTGTACAGTGTATACACTCTCGGCATACACTTGCATAACCGTAGGTAGTCTTGCTGCCGTAATTTCGCTGCACCAGCTGCTGTTGCACTACTCGAATGTCATACTTGGCTCCATTCAGCACTCAGTAGGCAACTGGCAACGAAGTTACCGACCACCAACCAGTCGGTCTACTTGTGAGCCAGCCAAAAAAAGAGCTTGCCTGCCTGTGTGCCCACTAGGTAGAGTCCTCCAGCTGGGGTATCCAACTAAGAGCATCGTGGATTATGGTCTGGCCACTGTTGGCCAGTTTGCGCGACTATTGCGCTAATTGCTCCTTGGCCGGTATCAGCTATATTGCCAATAACAAGTAAGTATGCCGCAATTTCTCTGATCCACACTCACACGCACATACGCAAAAGTGCAATTGCTGTACTACTGGATCATAAGCACGAAGCGCATAAACGTAAACATATCTAAGGACATGCATAATTCTAGTAGCTTTTGTACTTACCACCTTAGGCGCTGCGGCTGCTATCTGTGATTCACGCTTTTTAGCTACTTTTCGACTTCGTTCCACACAGAGCACACTTGTTCGTCTGCACTATAGAGTCGCATAGCCTGCTTAGGGGCATTTCCTGTATTTAAAATTTAATGAAATGAAATGAAATGAGTGTATTAAATATCTACTCTCCATGATTTATTTATTCACCGAATTTTATTTTCATTTGACTTCTTCTCGCAGACTGCATTTCAGCGAACGTTTATTCTGGCTATTTTGCGTTATATTGTCTGCTTACGGTTCGTACAGTCTGATTTCCACCTTTGAGCGAGACTTTGAGTTGTTCGCTGTGAGCATTGTCTTCGAGAGCCTGACGCCGTATGATAAAATTTTTTTTCCCAGTGTGGCGGTCTGTGAGACAATGGAGAAAGATGGCACCACAGCACCGGTGGAGGAGTTTATAAAAAAGTAAGTGAAAGTTTAATTTGTGTGATCAATTTTAAATGCATGTTTTACACGAGAATATAATCTCGTCATCGTTGCTTTAGGCAATGTCACTCATTATTGATTTTTTCCACGATAAATTTTGTAAGTGTATACCGGAGAAAAAAGTACCAAGGTGTCTAAACGAAAATATGTATGTATTTCTTAACCCCAGGATCATCTTGGCAATACTAATTTAAGACTGCAAAGTCATCGCAAAGGGATCTATGCTAACATAAAGCACGAACAAAGGTTTGAATAACCGCTTTGCTATCAAACTCCAATTCAGCGGCGCATAGTTAAAACCAAAAAATAATTCAGTAAGATCAGATTTCGCCACATCTTCAGAAAAAAGATGGGGGATTCAATTTCTATACCGTGAAATATAATAGCAATTATGTATGACGCATGCGTAGTAGCCAAGGCAAACTATTGATCCAGTTTCCAATGAAATACTACTTACAAGAAAACATAAAATTTTTAGTATCAAAAGCTAACTAAATTTTTTTTTTAACAAAAAATTTTTTTTTTTTAATAAAATTTTTTTTTTAAATACCTTTGCCGTAGTTGACATCCGGTAAAAAAAATTTTCCGCATATACTCTACCAACTCTGTCAAAGAAAATTCCCTCAAAATCTTTAAAGTATTCTCTCATTTTCACAAATTTTCCACCAAACCCTTTTTCAGTTAAGCAGCTCGCAAGGACCTGAAGCGAGCTGAAACGTGCTTAAACCCTTTTGAAAGAGCTTATGCGCTCAAATCAGCATTCACAGAAAATTTAGTTGATAATAATTACCCTTATCATGCTTATTTAAGAAAGGAAAAATAAAACTTATTTCTTGTTTAAAAGAAACCTATTGGGGTAATATTCACTAAGAGAAAATTTCGAACAAAAAAGTTGTCTAGTCAAAAGTGTTTTAAAAAATAGTAAATTAATCATAAAAACAAAATTTTTCAGTTGGAAATTCTAATACCATGTCCCCACCGGCGCTAACCACGTAGTTATGGCTACTGAGTTGGTTATCCCCATAACCCACTTGATTTAGCGTAGTTTCGCCATATAAAAATGACAGCACTTAACCATTTCACTGAGATGGTTAAAAGCTAACCAACTCGAAACCACGTCGAAAGTCTGATACAACCCTGTGTTTTCCCGCCATCTGTGGGTCATTAGCGTTGAAATATAAAGAATTCGTTCCCTACTAGTGTTTGGACTCAACTAAAATCAGATTAGATTTACTCCGGTTTTTAAAAAAAATTTAAATCTACTCCTCTACTCCGCTGGACTTCAAATCTATTCCGTTTTTTTCATTCATGTTATGCCCCTCTTGGGGACGTTTTTTGAGTGTTCACCACCGGTTTCAGTAAAAAAATTTAAAAGTAGCCAAATCTCACTGTTAAAAAGTAACTCTTTCATAGCAATGCGTCAATAAAGTAACTTGATGTATGGCTGTACAAACTGGCGGATGCAGAACTTAACTTAAGTTGTTAAAAAATATATGTAGAATGAAATTTATATAAAGTAGAAAAGGTTTGCTTTTTAAAAAATTAAGTGTTAGATACGTTCTACTTCACAGAAAATGCTAAAAATTACCTAAATATGTAACATATTATCCTTGCATTGCTTCGCGTTCTTATTTTGCATGAATAGAAAATATTTTAGTCAAACACTTAATGTCAGAAACAAGAATAAAAAATTCAATCTAGTACGGAAAATTTGTTTTTGGTCCGATTTTTGCAGCGATTTAGTCCTGAATCGAGGTTTGGAGATCCGAACACTGTTCTTTACATTTGTACTGTTTTATAAACCTCAAACCGCAGTGTGGACACCAATAGTTAGTGATGTGGTTAATACTTTGATGGGGGGGATATGGTATAAATTAGCTCAACAAGTGCATTCCTAATTTTAAATGAAAGAATAATAATATTCACTTGACAAATTTTATATTTTTACTCCCCTTAAATATTTTAAAACTTTCTAACAATATACTCTTCTTTCTTTTATTTTATTTTCTTCCCGTCATCTTTCGCTAACCGCTCAGTTCGTAAGTACTTTTGTCTCTGCATACATATGTATACGTACATTAGACCGTACCAGAAAAAAAAAGTTCGCCGTACCCTTCTGAGTCTAAAGTATTTTTGCCCGGCAATTTCAAAAAAAAGGATCAGTCCAGCGCTCTCGTCTTTACCTGCGGTCTGTGCCGCTAAACTTGATTTTTTGCATTTCTGCATCAAACATAAAATTAAAAAAAAAATTTCGCTTACGTCTTTTCGGCGGTTAGGACTCAATATTAAGAGCACATTCATTAAACACGTTACATTCCTTTTGATTTTATTGGATTGAATTTTAAACCCATTTCAAGTGCTACACATCTTACAGAAATCACGTAATTTACTAAATAAATTGAGTTTAACTTTTGAAACAGATGGCAGCCCTCTTTAATATTCTTAATGTTCAAGCTAAATATTTCCTTATACGCCTTCGTTTGCAGTAACTTATGTATAATTTAAATAAATTCAACTTTATAAACAGATGGCAACTCTGTTAAAAAATATTTTCAAACTAAAACCTTTTTATACCTCTTTAGTCTGACACCCGTATTGTGATATATATTTAAATTATCTAGTTCCATTAAATCAAGTAGAATTTAATTTTTATATCAGGTGGCAACCCTCCTACAGTTCCTACCATCCCAATATTCCACCCTAATGCCCGCAAATTTAAGCTCTCCAAAAATTGAAAGGATTTTTTTTTTATTATTCCAGTGGTACTATTAAAATAAATGTTTTATGCCGAATGTGTGAGTGGTCACCGAGAAATATAGAAAGGCGACCCGTAGGTTTGGTCAAAAATTATTATTTTTAATTGATTTGCAATAATACTTTAGACTCGGTTGTGCCTACATTTTTTGTTTGCTGGTAAGTTGGTACGGTCTAATGTACATCCTGGTGATTGCAAACATAAATTCGAAAATTTTTCATAGATATATATGTATGTATATATATTAAAATATATTATACATATAACAGATGTGTATGTATGTATATACTAGCACACAAATATATTCGCCTGAAAACATGTACACATGCTTTACAATTAAGCTCAAATTGGTAATGAGGAAAATTAAAGAAGATAATAAAGAAAGAGTTAAGTTAAAAGTGCTCCAGGCAATTGGTAAGCGCACAGCATACACTGATTGCGATTAGTGAAAATTAACGCACATAATTGTGATACTCGTACACGCATTCATAACTGAGTACACAGCTTATATCGCTTTAGCTTTATGCGTAGGGATTAGGGGTATTCTCCAAATCTTGCAAAGCCATTGCACGTAGCACGGATTGCACGGATTGCATAAATTGCAAACACACAACAAGAAAATTCATGGGAAACAACATTTCCTATCGCTGCAAAATATGCAACGTCGAAACCCATGTATATATTTTGCAAAATAGCATAGCAAGATAATAGCGACCCTGTGCTAGTTGTTTTGTTGTTGGAATTGCTACATATTTCTCTCATTCCTCTCATCTCGCTCACTTAATTTTTTTTTGCTGTCTCTTGTTATTGTATCTGATACATAATTTCGCTGCTTGCTCCCCATGCATGCTACCACTTTGCAATGGGGTGTTCTCGTACTCTTCGAAATTTGGAATAGTATTTTTGCATTTCGTGCAATCCGTGCATCGTGCAAGACTTCGAGAATACCCCTAATGTGTTTTTATTTACTTTTCACCACAAGGAAATATTTAGTTGTGTATGCCTCATTTTCACAGCACTAGCACAATTTAAAAGTTTGCGGAGTTTTTCGAACTTATTTAATTTAAAATAGAAATTTCTATGTGCAACTAGCTTTTGCCCACAGCTGCGCCTACGTGAGTTCGGTTTAACGTTATGATTTCAAATGCAACAAAAAAAAAAAAAAAAAAATTACATCATCGAAATTAATAAAGTTAGTAAAAGTTCTCGTTTCCCTGAAATCAATGTCTCGAATTTAACCTTAGATGACCATTTCGGTATAAAACAAGTAATTTTTAAGCAAAAAATACTTCAATGCTGATATTGAAATTTTTGAATGTCGTTAATTTTTTCATTATTCAATCATCGGGGTAACCCTGGGAAACCAAAGTGGTCAAAAGTTGTCCGGTAACATACATAGAAAATATATTCCTTTATAATTTTTTGAAAGTCGGTTAAAAAACTTACATTTCCTAGGTAAACTAAATTTTTTAAATTGTTTATATAGCACTGTACCGAAAAGAAACTTCACACTTTCAAATTCAAATTTATTGGAAAATAGGCACTTGATGCCCTTTTTTTGGGTACCGTTAGAATACAAGAAATATTGTCTTCTTAACATAAATTTTATAGTTTTCGCGCTGCCGCAAATCGAAGAAGAAGTGCGAAAGAAAATTGTGTACAATTACCCCACTGGAAAAGGAGTTTTGTATCGATAGTTGGCCAAACGGTATAAAGTCAAGTATAACTAGTGTCAAAAACATCATTAACAAATTTGGTGATACTGCTTCCATCAAAAAAGTGTGCAACTGGTCAGAACCTTGAATAAAGTTTACTGGCTTTAATAAGCCAAAATAAAACAATGTCCGGGAGAGATTTGGCAAAAAAAGCAAACACAAGTGCACCCATGATACAAAGGGTTAAGAAAAGGCGCAAGTTGATAACTTCAAAAAAAGAACAGAAAGTACCTAAAAAAGGTGAAAGACAACTGGAAGTGAGGGAAACAAGGCTCCGAAAATTGTACGACCGTTTGCTTCGTGACTCCGTTGAGGGCATTGTCATAGACGATGAAACCAACGTCAAAATCCAATCTAAACAATTTGTGCAGTTTTTTTTTGGGTACAGTCCTAAGGTGAAAATTCCGTTGAAAACAGGTTAAATAATATTATAATATTAAATTAAATTGATTTGATGATAAAGATCTTTTCAACATATTTCCTTTGATCTCAATATTTCTATATTTCACTTTAGTAACGATTGAATTTAATTTCACTTTTAAACATTTTAAAGCATTTTAAAAATAAAACTTATTTAAATAATTTTTAATTTAACATTGAATCATTTTGTGGCGTTTCAGTTAACGTATTAATCCAATTCAAGGTAACTTTTAAACAGATGGCATCCCCATTTAAAAATATTTTCCACAAAAAGCTTTCTCATGACTGTTTCTATTCCTATGTAATATTTCATTTTACTTATGAAAAATAAAAATTTGAATTTTAAACAGATGACAACTCTCTTCAAAAAGCTTTGATAGTAAAGCCTTTTTTGAAATTTTGTTGAACTTATAATCTGAAATAGGTTCATTTAACTTGATTTTTCTTGGCTGGTGGCATTGCACTTCTACATACCAATCTCTTCAATTCTCTGTGCAGATCTGGTGACGGTGGGTTAAATATTTTACGTAAACATATCCGAACTCGATTATTTGCATTTGATATCCTAACATCTGGCAACCCTTTTCAAAGAACCAAAACCGCGTAAAAGCAAAACCCTTTAATATCTATATTTATAAATAAATATATTTAACGCTTTAAGGGCCGTTAAAATATCTGTGTTAAGCTATAATTTATTCATTTATTTCATTCATTATTTAGAATTACTAATTACAATTAATTAATAGAATTACTTAAAAATAGATAAGTTAACGGCCCTAAGTCTCCGAACTCGATAAAGAAATTTTAATTCAATAAAAGTCCCATATGATTATTATGAGAAGACGTAAATAATATTCGTCTTGAAATAATCATCCCGCGAGACGAAAACCACTTTTACATTGTTCAATAATAATTATGGATCAATATTTAATTTTATTTCTTATAATCGTTATGGTCTCGGTTTAAGACACTTCTTAATGTTCTGAAACACAAAAAATTTAAGAAAATGTAGNTTATAATCGTTATGGTCTCTGTTTAAGACACTTCTTAATGTTCTGAAAACACAAAATTTAAGAAAATGTANACATTGTTCAATAATAATTATGGATCAATATTTAATTTTATTTCTTATAATCGTTATGGTCTCGGTTTAAGACACTTCTTAATGTTCTGAAACACAAAAAATTTAAGAAAATGAGCCTCTATTTTTGAAACTTTCCTAAGTTTAAATTCAGAAATCTCAATTAAAAATTTTAAACCTTTTCGCTTCTTATACTTTTGCACTTAAATTTTTGTTTTATTGCCCAAAGCGATATTTGCAATCAAATTAAATTTCTTCGAAAACTTATGTATTTTTCCTTTAACTCACTCCAGTTGGCCAGATGATTACGAGTATGATATCGAAATATTTGTTTTGAAACTACTCTTTCCACATGAATACAACTCTGGCAATGCGAAAGCGCACTGCTACGAAAAGGAGGGCACTGATACCGAATGTCCGCATGCGGGCTATCGAGAGCTAATTGGAATGGTATGTTGAGTGTTACTTATATACAAATTATATATAAATTATGTATGCACATAGTACTTAATGAATTGACATTTATACATAAAATATTAACTATTAATATTTTTTTAAAGCTCCACCAGAATTGCTCTTACGTACTATTGGAATGTTCGTTGGGTGGTAAGGCATTCAATTGTTGCCATTACTTTGTTCCATTTCAAACACCGTATGGCATTTGTTTTCTACTGAATTCGCTACAAAATAACCATCCGTAAGTTTGGTAATACATATGTAGTCATAAATTATGTTATAGCCATAAGTTCGACAGTGATCAGACAAACATTGATGACGTATCTAACCATCTCCATTCTTCAACGAAATTTTTTTTCATTAACTGACAACAGCGCTTGGTCTGGTAAATAAAAAATCTCATTTGGGTTAGGTTGAGTTAAGGAGGCGTCTACGATTGATTCATACTTCCATGGGGGACACATCCTTCTAACCGATGTTAATACATTCTGTCGATATAGAGTCTGTCAAGCCATTAACTATCCCAGATCAAGCCGTGAAGACTCGATATTTTCACCTCCGCCATCTCCACCAATCTATTGAAAATGCGCGGTCCCAAATACTTTAAAAGCCTTGTCTGGAGAGCTGGGCATAAACGTAAGAAGTGGTGAATGGATTTTCCTTCATCCTCATCACGACAACTTCTTCAGAGGGACCTTTTTGGTATACGCCATTGCTGTAGCATTGGTGTTATAGCACAGTGTCATGTGATGACACCGATAATCGCCCTTACTACAGATTTGTTTAGTGTCAATAGTTCCGCAGTACGATTCTTAATGAGTCTGAACAACTAGGAGATTAAGATCTTATAGTCGTTTTGATTGATCCATAGGTCATTACTTACTTACGACTGTGGTGTATTTTTCAACCAGCCATAGCAGAAACGAGATCGGTGGCAGTAGCAAGTTATTTGCTTCTTTAACCTGCATTTCCGAGCCACGTTTAGACATCTCACAGGCTACTTCGCTCCTTTCTATATTGTTATGTCCAGGAGCCTGGCAAGTACAGGTTTTGGACGAGACACAGTGAGGCCAGTGTTGCATGACATTTTCAAACTTCTTTCGACTGGCCGCCTGGCTGTCAACAAATGAAATCCCATGTTGACGTGAGGTAATTAGTTTCGACATCTAAGTCGGCTTTGATTCTGTTACGCCGTCTGCTATTAATTGGCTTCAAGACCGCTGCATATCCGTTGTTGCTTCTCTTCCACGATTTTGATTGCCTCAGTCTAAGAGCACCTTTTTCGGCAGCCTCTGTTACGAATACTTGTGGTGGCTCCAAGTCAAAGATCATGCTCAGCTGCTTACAGCGCCTGGTATACCGAGGCTTGCGAGTCTCTGTAATTTTTCAATTATTATCGGATTGCTGCTTTTAAAATCGGTCGGATGACTGGGGTGAACAAACCGTAAAGGACAAAGGTAACAACCCCCAGTTTTTTCCTAAAGCCCTTTCAACGGCATAGTACGCTGATAGGCTTCTCTTTACTCTTTCCTAAACGTTGCGCCTCCACGTAAGTTTGGAGTCTAATAGTACCTAAGTATTTTACCTCTGGGGAAGGGTTCAGACTAGTCTCGTCCAGCTTTTTTAAGGGCAATTCCAGAATTTTAGTTTTCTTTGTGAACAAGACAAGTTCGGTTTTAGAAGGGTTAACTCCTAGTGAAGTTGTTGCCGTGAACATGTATCGGATGCCCTCCAATTGTGTACTAACCTTGCCGGTAGTCGAATCAGAGGCCAGTGTTAAATCTAATCCCTCTCTTCTAACATGAATTGGTGTCCATTCTGCCCCGAAGTTCATGGTGAATATTCGTGTTGCAGGCTATTACCAGACCCAGCCCACGTGACTGGTCTTGTGACACCAGTTGGTACACTACTTGAGGTGGTGGCTGCTCCTCCTCGTGTGGCCAGTAGCACCAGCTGCGTCTGCCTTTGTGCTGTCCTAATACCGCTGTGAGGTCTCCAGTGCTGAATGGGGTGAAAAGGAAAAGATTACTAAATATCTTCTTAGCCAGCATACAGGTTCTTACCTTACGCCATTGGGGTGAACACGCGGTAGCAGTCCATACCTAGCCCATTGACCCTACCTTTTAAAACCTAGGGTTCTTGCATCAGGGCTCCATCAACATCTTTCTCCAGGATGAACTTTATCAAATCGAGGGAGTCCGAAGTAGAGTGATGCAAATTAACCTATGCACCACAGAAAAGGATGCCAAAGCTCGAACTAGATGTTGCCCTCCCTGAACTTAACATTTTCGAATGACTTCTGGTCAAAATACATTCATTTAAAAACTACGATATCTGCTTACACAACTACACATTATCACCTATTCTCCCCAACACAGCAACAGCGAATATTGGTTCCCAAATGTGGTTGAAGACAATCATGCTGCAGCAACAATGCGTCTAGTTACCCAAGTGGCAATGGAGGTTTGTTAGATAAGCATAATATATGGACACACATATTTACTTCTGAAATCCCAAAACTGCCAGGTTTTCGTGATCAATAAAGAGGATATTCCCTACGCCAACTTGGCTGGCATTACTGTGAAGATAGCTACGCCTGGCAAGCATACGGACTTTCGAATTTCGCTGCAAGAAATGGTCAACGATCCGGATGTACATGAAGTGATACCAGAACACCGAGGTTGCCGCTTTCCCCACGAGGTCACACCGCATTCATCCTTCCGTGCCTACAGCTTCAGCGCCTGTATGGTCGATTGTATACGTTTGCTGCAAATGCGTTACTGTAACTGCACAATGTACAATTTGATGCCGGTGCCGAGGAAAGATATGCCCGATTGCGATTACAGTGGCTACTTGTGTTTGGAGAAGGAGACGAAGGCTACACCGGATATCAAAATGTTGCTACCCTGGCCGGAGAATAATGAAACTTGTGATTGCTTGCCATCGTGCGTTGAGCACGATTTGCGTTCGGTGATGGAGTATAGTCCGAGGTGTGTGGTGTAAAAAATTGTCGTTGGTGAATTTCATGTAAGCTTTTCTTTTTTTGTTTTTTTTTTTGTTTTCAAGCAATCGCAAAGGCGTCAACAACCGCAGCATTGCAATTAGTCTCTCGGATCGTCCCACTGAGCGTTATAGGCGTCAAGCGATCCGTACTCGCTTGGACGTTGTGGTCACCATTGGCGGCATACTGGGCTTGTTTTTGGGCGCTAGCATTCTCAGTCTCATAGAGTTTATTTACTATTTCACTCTGCGGCTTTATAATAACATCCGCATGTCGCGAAGCAGTAGCCGTAACAGGGGCAAGGTTAAGGCTAATCAGCGCGCTGTAAAGTATTGAAAGTTACTTAGTAATGTCCAATGAATGCACACGAATTAAGGATCTTGACTTTATTCTAAAATACAAATAAAGTACCTTTTTCTTCTCAAAACTAAAATTGCATACTATAGAAAATTTTCAGAAAAACAGCCAAAAATTTATCCGTTTTAAAAACAATATTCGGTTCTTATCTGTACATTCGTGTCTGCGGCACACTTTTGTGGAAAAACAGATTGATAATGGAAACAGTAAACGAAAAAAATCCGCTNGTTTTCAAGCAATCGCAAAGGCGTCAACAACCGCAGTATTGCAATTAGTCTCTCGGATCGTCCCACTGAGCGTTATAGGCGTCAAGCGATCCGTACTCGCTTGGACGTTGTGGTCACCATTGGCGGCATACTGGGCTTGTTTTTGGGCGCTAGCATTCTCAGTCTCATAGAGTTTATTTACTATTTCACTCTGCGGCTTTATAATAACATCCGCATGTCGCGAAGCAGTAGCCGTAACAGGGGCAAGGTTAAGGCTAATCAGCGCGCTGTAAAGTATTGAAAGTTACTTAGTAATGTCCAATGAATGCACACGAATTAAGGATCTTGACTTTATTCTAAAATACAAATAAAGTACCTTTTTCTTCTCAAAACTAAAATTGCATACTATAGAAAATTTTCAGAAAAACAGCCAAAAATTTATCCGTTTTAAAAACAATATTCGGTTCTTATCTGTACATTCGTGTCTGCGGCACACTTTTGTGGAAAAACAGATTGATAATGGAAACAGTAAACGAAAAAAATCCGCTTCCATCCAGTTTTTTTTCTTTTTTTGATCCATTTTCGGTTTTTTCTGGCTGGGTTAATACCTGCCATTTTATTTGCAAGACAAAATATATTGGGATCATATAATTAGCTGTGCATTAGGGTGGTCCAGGGGAAACATAGAAAAATCAAATTTTTTGATTTTACCTGCTGCCACCACTCGGAACTGAAGAACATCAAAAATAAGGATACACGTTTTTTTTTTATTTTGAAATCGGTTAATATTTTCCCATGTATTTTGCATGGGGAAACATTTNTATCTACAAGTCAAATGACTGGCTTTATTACAAATGAAAAAAAAAACATTTGCCATTTTTATAGTTTTTCTTTGTAAACCTTTGAGTTTTTTTGAAAAAAAAAATCGAATTAGCTTTCGAAAATTTACCTGATTTGGAAAAGCGGTATACATACACATCCATAATTTATGACCTTTACGTGTTTCAGCGCCTTTTTTGTTTCATTTCAAAAGTTGAAATTTTCCCTAGAGTCTAAATGAAGTTGAAAGTTTCCAGTTGATTTTGACAGCGATGTACATATTGAAGAAATAAATCCCGTAAACTTGTGAACTGTAAGATAAAAAATAATTGGGATGAGAATGATGGCGGAAATGCTAAAATTTGCAAACATGCCTTGGGACTGAATTTTTGCCTGCCCATAGACATCTCGATTGATAAGCCTGCCGACTTCGCTCTCGCGGAATACCGAACTTACATAAACTTTTCCATAGATGATTGGAACGGCTTTGCGGAAGTTGCTGAAAGCATCTTCGCTGCCCTTCCCGCAGAGTTGTCACTGGTGCTGCGTCAGGAGACATCTATACGAACTAACGGACAAAGTCCAGAGGTTCACATAACAACCTCTGGGTCCAGCAGTATATAGACAGAACATAAACTCCATTCACAGGTCGCAGAGTTAGCGCAGATGTTCCCAACGAGTGCCCGGCATGCGAAGAGTTGCCACATGACTAACGCTACCACCGTCCACCCAGCTAACGCCCTTGTCTCTATGGACAACCCCAGTGGAAGTTGCGCACTTCCAGGGCCTGCCATTAGCTGAACCGGACAGAAACGGTTGATGGACAATCCGATTTGAGTGGGGTGGGTAATCGCTACAACAACAACAACGCGCTTGCTTACAATGGAATGGGAGACTTACTTCCTATTATTGCTATCTTTAGCATCTGAAATCCCATTGTGTATATCGAAATATATCAGAACGAGTTTTCAAATTAACACACATCCTAATGTACTAACTAATAATCTTCGATGTGTGCTTTACTGTCGCCTCGCGGACATTTACGGTTTGCTGCTTTTACTGTTATCAACGCTATCATTACCATTACCATAACCATTATCATCCGTATTGGTATCATCGTCATCGCCACCGCCACAAACAGCAAAATCGAAAACAACAAAAGGGACAACAACAAAAAAGGGAAGCAACAACTATAAATACAAGGGACAATGTCAACGCCAATAGCAACAACAACATTATTGGTTGAGTTTCGAGCTCGTAATGTTTGAACGAATTTTAGATTTTATATAGTATTTACACACACACACACACACACACACACACACAAGCACAAGTCGGCTTAAATGCAGAAGTAGGAGCGTATATGTGGGCATGCGAACATTTGCCATTACCTCTAATCAGCAATTTAAATCCATTTCGTTTTCGTTTTCAACCTTAGTGGAAACGCAAATGACATTCGAAAAAAAAATTTAAATTTTCGGAATTTCACACACATGAACTCATCATCATTTCATTTTCACCTGCCATGTCTCCACACCGACACACATCCTCAGCAGCAATGAAAGGTTGTGGAAATGAAAATTTGAAAATACATACATACATACCCGTACAGTTGTATTGTAAGCAGCAACAGCGGCACGAGGCATTCATGCTTAAACGGACTAACCCACAAATATGTAGGAGCACACATAAGCATACGTACATACAAACACACACACGTGTCGGTACGCCCATCACCAAAATTGGCAAACCCACACTCAAATACGCGCCTTGGATTTGTATACACGCATCTAAGCTATGTCGAAACGTTTAACACTAATGCCAATGCCAATTGCTAACAGGAGCTCCTGGCTCCTGTTGTGCCTGCTTTACATCCTCTTACCTCTTCACTTACCATATCGCCATACATTGCGCGACGTAAAGTAGTCAGCCCATATTTCTGCTACATACTCGTACCCCATGTTTTTTAAAATCAACCGTGCTCGCCAGTGCTGCCGTTTTCTATTTTTACAGAGTAGTAAGAAACGTATATTTTGGGGAGCATTTTGAATGAATCTTTAAACTTAACTCAAGGCCATTTAAAAGCATAAAATAAATTGGTCGTTATGGTACAGTAGACTGAAGTGGAATATTTTAAGGGCATAGATTTAGGTAGATGTGTTTCTCAATGTCCATTTACAGGATGCTACCACAATGCTGATAAGATTCTACAACGTTGATTTTGTAAGTGGTTATTTTTGGGTTAATTACAGCACGTGTATACCTATTTTTGAATTCTCACGGAAGGCCCTAAAACTGGCATTTGGAAAGAAACTGAAGTTTTAACTTTTTAGGGAATATGCTTCGATATCGAAAGCCATATTATTTGCATTCCTCACGACAGGAGCAACATTATGGAAAATAGGTGGAAGTCATTGGCCAGCCTTCTAACTAAGTACTTCCAAGGTGAGCAATGTCTGTAAGTCTCAGCTAAATTTTGTTGGTAAATATCAGGGCATTCGGTAACTCCAATTTTTACCAAAACCGGTTTTCGCACTATTCGAGTTCGAAAAAACCGGTTGCCTATTTTGAAATTAAGAAAAACACGGATAAACCGGTTTTATTTAACATAGTTTTGTTTTTTACAGAGAAAATACTTATCTTGGTGTAAAGTCATGAGCAAAACTTACAATAAAACTATTTACAGTAAAGATAGATTTTATTTAGAAAGAAGCAAAAAAATATAGTACAAAGTGTTTTTAGAACAAAATTAAAACAAATAAATATCAGTGAAAAATTCGCGTATATTGGTTTTTTTTAATACTTTAATTTTTCTAACTTTTTTTCGGTTGTGAGTAGTGCTCTTGCCGCTGTAACCGAATGCTTAGAGGTGGCGACTGCTACTGGTTAAATTTCTTGTGCCAGCAACATCAACAAAAGCTTTTCGAATACCTGTCGCGCCTCAGCGGACAATAGCCAATCTCCGAGTGTACTTCTGTCATAAAAAGCACAACATGAAGCTCCGCCGAACACGTAGAAAGCCTTTAAGCGTCAAGCATTCATTTATTGGAATCAAATATGATATACTGCTCATCCTCAAATAACCTTGGATATAATTTTAAAACTATTTAAGAGTTTCTTTTAAACTGATAAACTTCGAAAAACTTAAAACTTTTCAAGATCTGGTCAAGGAAATCACGCTAGTAAATACATAAAGAACTCGTTTTAAATACTCTAAATACTTATAAGTGACAGGTCACACGGTATAGCACTCAGCAATAAGAGGGCGGTTTCGACAGGCTACTTCATTAATCAAGTAGGACAGCTGACAACTTTTGGAATGGCTAAGTGACGGCTATTCGTGGCGCAAATCCCTGAAAGTATGGCAACCTTATTTCATATCCTATCTTGTCGAAGATGAGACGGCAGGCTTTTTTTTTGTACTTCGGTTTCACCTCAGCGGGTACGGATAAGAGCTGTTTCCTGCACGCGTTGTTGCGTTAGTTCAGGCCAGGGAAAGAGCTTTTCCTCCAAGAGTTAAAAGGAGTAGATCTTTATGCCCGAGCAGTCATAAGTTTTAAAAAAACTCTGTAATATGGCTTAACAAACTTGATCACAAAGTGTGCTCTCGATGGAAAGGAAAAGTTGATCGCAAATCATTCCATGCAATATGCTGTGGCAGTTTTCAATGCAATAAAGGTCCATTATCTCGCAAAATAGTAGTAAAATCGGTCCTCGGGGAGTACGGGAGTATAAATGACAAAATAGTAGTAAAATACTACTATTGTAGTACTTTCGGCAGCACTGGTACTCACCCCGAATGCTGCAGTGTTTAGCGATAATGCGCTTACCTTTGCATATGAGTGTACCAGTGTTTTTCGGCGCTTAACCTGACGTCAATGACTGTGTATCGCTTGCTGGCGTCAAACAAATGTTGCTGCCGTACATTGAAGCCGCGCTTCCTCTTGTAGTGGCTGCTATGGTTGTAGTTGTTGTCGTGTTTTTTTGCTGTTGTTGCCTTTATTAAAAGCTGTCTACATATTTATACACTTAGGTAGGAAGCGGACATGCTGCTGTAATGCTTCGGTTATGATCCGAGTCATGAAAACTGGCAATGGAATAGTTGAAGTGTGTGCGCATGTGTGTGTATAGGAGGAGTGCGTAGTCTCGGGATATACATACACTCACTAGAAAAAGTATACGTACATAGTTTTGTCTCATAGTAGAGAATATATATCCATTCTCATTATATGACACAAAAAAAGCCGAAACAAGTAAACATAATTTTGAGTCGAAGATTACCGATTTTTTCCCTATTCAAGTTTGATTTTTTATCATACACAATGTATACTTAAAATGAAAATATCTTTGAATACTTTCCACCAGCAGGATTTATATAAAATTTAAAACAGATATCAGGATGTTTGGAACGGCCACATTTTGGCTGGTATTTAAAGAGAGAACACTCAAGTAATCACAAGAAAACAAAAAAGGGACCGAGAA